CACAATGAACTTTGATGGCCGGAGTAAACTCGGCGATGAAGTCAGATAAGGCTTGAGCCTTGATCGCGGTCCTCGGTTGATAATGGATGTCGAATTTTCCGAGCTCAATGGCCCATTTAACCATGCGTCCCGAGGTATCAGGTCGGTGCAGGATTTGCCGAAGTGGATACGAAGTGCGAACAGTTACAGAATGTTCTTGGAAATAAGGTCGCAATTTCCGGGCTGCAATCACAAGTGCAAACGCCAACTTTTCCATCGGAGGATAACGCAGTTCGGCATCGTGCAAGGCTTTGCTGACGTAATAGATAGGTGATTGCAGCAATCCCTCTTCACGTATCAAAACAGCGCTAATGGCAGAATCACTGACTCCGAGGTATAAGAACAACATTTCTTCGCGTTTCGGCTTTGTCAAGGTTGGGGGAGAGACTAGCGTCTCCTTGATGCTAACGAGAGCTTTCTGGCATTCCTCGGTCCATTCAAAACGTTTTGCTTTCTTAATTGCTTCAAAAAAGGGTCTGCAACGATCTGTAGACTTGGAGATGAACCGGTTGAGTGCGGCAAGTCGGCCGGTTAGGGCCTGAACGCCCTTAACCGAGGTCGGGGGAGTTAGATCTTGAATGGCCTTTATTTTGGCCGGATTGGCTTCAATTCCGCGCTGGCTAACCATATAGCCCAAAAACTTTCCAAATTCAAATCCAAAAGTACATTTCTTAGGGTTTAAGACCATGGAATAAGATCGGAGGATGGCAAACATGTCTTGAAGATGTGTTATATGATCTGAGGCGTGCACCGACTTGACGAGCATGTCGTCAACGTAAACTTCCATAGTGTGACCGATCAGTGTAGCGAACATTTTGTTGACGAGGCATTGATATGTGGCTCCGGCGTTCTTTAATCCAAACGGCATCATAGTATAACAATACAAGCCTCGGGCCGAATAGGATGAGGTATGTTCAGAATCTTCAGGATCCATAGGAATCTGATTATAGCCCGAGTAAGCATCCATGAAACTCATCAACTCATGTCCCGACGTTGCATCGACCATATAATCTATATGTGGGAGCGGATAACTATCCTTCGGACACGCCTTGTTTAGGTCAGAAAAATCGATACACAATCTCCATAGTCCATTGCTCTTTTTAACAAGAACATGATTTGAGACCCACGTCGGGTATTTGGCTTCCTTGATGAATTTGTTGTCGATGAGTTTTTTGACTTCTTCTTCCAACTCCTTCTGACGATCCGGCCCCAGTTTCCTTCTCTTTTGCACAACAGGCCGGATGGTTCGATCGAGGTTCAACTTGTGGCTAGCAACACCGGGGTCGATGCCCTTCATATCCTCGTGTTTCCAAGCGAAAACATCAGAATTGTGTTTGAGAAACGAGATAAGTTCTGACCGAAGTGGTTCTTGAAGATGACTTCCAATACGCAATGATTTGTGGAACTCTGGTTCATCGATATAGATCAATTCTACGTCTTCTCCAGGTTCGGCTCGATCACTTTGGCTTTTTTCTTTGAACAAGGCTCTGGGGTCCAACTCGTCTTCTTCAAGTAGTGGCTCCTTCCCAGGCCGGCGACCTCGGTCTTCGGTTAAAGGATCCGAGGTGGAAGGATCGCCGATGTGGTTGTTTGGTTCTTCGGACACCGCGTCGTCTGAAGCGTGTTGCTGTGGGGAGGCTTCATTATTACCCATTGAAGTTGAATGAACTCCATTGGATGGGATAAAAGTAACAAGTTCTCGAGCTTCTCTTTGATCTCCAAAGTGGGTTCCCTCTTCTCGGGTTGTCGGGAACTTTAATGCATAGTGAAAGATAGAAACTGCAGCTCGAAGTTTATACAAGGCCGTTCTGCCGATGATGGCGTTGTACTCATTATTAATATCCATAACCTTGAAAGTTTCCATGACGAGTTTGGTGACATTCTCCGAAGTGCCGAATCTGACAGGTAAAGTGATCTCGCCGATAGGCTTTGAAATACTGCCGTTGAACCCTAGTATTTGATCGTTGCAAGGTCGGATTTCGGCGGGATCAAGGCCCATTTTTTCAAAAGCCTTCAACATCGAAATGCTCGAATAGGCCCCAGTATCCACCATGACGCGATGAACTGGAATTCCGCATATAGGGACGGTGATAACAAGCGCATCGGAATGAGGGTGTGCGAAGTGATTAGCATCTTCCATATTAAAGGTTATGGGACAGTTCCGATTGTTGAGAATATCTCTCAAATCGGTAGTGTAGACCTGTTTGCTGGAGTTGTGCGCTTGTCGGGCATATGCCTTGACCTGTCGACGGGATAATGTACTCCGGGGGTTATTGGTATTGACCCGGTGGACAGTGATCTGCATCGGTATAGGAGATCGGTCTCGTTTACGTCCTCGGGAAGTTCCAGCAGAGTTAGAATCGGATGTCTCCGAGGTGAACACAAATACTTCTTTGTCTCCTTGTCGAATGCGTTTTGGCATGGCACCTCGGTCCTCCTCATCGTCTTCATCAAAGGGTTCGATCTGGCGCCCCGGACCTCGCCTCTGGGGATCAGTACTACGGTAAAATTTTCTAAGCTGCGGATGGCCAATCAAACGCAACAATGCAGCTAACAAACTCAAACACTCGTCCGTGTTGTGCCCCGGCGACTTATGATAATCACAATATCGGGATTTGTCCAGTTTTTCTTCGGGCATCTGAAGTGGTTTGGGATCTGGTAAAATGCCCTTCCCTTTGATTTCTTCATATATGGTGGCTGCTCCTGCAGAATACACGGT